AACAAAACATCTAGTGATAGTGATGGTATCACTATGACAACTGTTAAATGGGTAATTGAGGGGATATGCAAACCATTAACCCATGTTTTTAACATGTCGTTTCGACTTGGGCAGTTCCCCAATAATATGAAAATAGCAAAGGTTATTCCACTGTATAAATCTGGGGATAAGCACAACTTCACAATGTCAAGGGGTAGGACTGGATAAGTCTGACTTCTTCCTACTCCATTCAAGCATGTACTAGGTATAAGCAAATTGATATTGGATTAGCATTTGTTGGATATGTGTACAATTATGTGTGTTGACATATGAACTGTTTTTACATGCTTGAAAGAATAAATCAAATCAAATCTCTAGATATTAACTCTCAGTGATAATAATTCATTTAACATTATGAGACAGACGTACACATTCTCTGTCAGGAACTGAAACATTATCTCTGTGTATATTATAGCACTATAACAGTTCTACAATGAGTGGGCCTTTGCAGGATTCAAATTACCGTGTAGGTTTGTAGACGCGTTTTGTTTAATGTCATTGTATCAATATTAGTCAGAGCTAAATGTCACTCACACAAAATATTGCACCTGTAGAGCTTTGAACCTGTTTAATGGTACATAACAAAAACACAAGTAGCAATAAACACTGCATAGTGACTTTATGAGATTAAATGGAATCCAGTACAACGGCTCAGTCGAAATTCTGCTTATTTAGTTTTGATTGACGCTGTCACAGTTGCAGTTTACCGTGGTGTTCAACTGGACTGCATTATACTTAAAGTTGTTTCTAATGCTTTGCTCACCCCATTTGCAAAAATGACAGAGCAATTTTTAGAAACCCATTTCAAAATAATGCAACACCACTAACTACATCCTTAGCAATAACCACACTTGCCAACACAAGATTTTGTAAAGGTAGACTATACGGCAAAGTGTTTGGCTTCTATGTAGGAGGGTGGGGGGGGGCCTTTACATGTCAGTGCCACCCATAGTGGCTTATTCAGTCTATGGGCAGAGCTGGGGAGGTCAACCTGGAAGGCAATCTTTAATGTCATGCTGTTCCACTGCATTTCCCTATGACCTACTGTATATACAACTGCTCTATACAACCACTAGAGGTCACCGTGTATGACGTTTAACTGCAGCTGCAGTTTACAGACACATTTTTTTTATGCACTATAGAATAGGTTACTAATGCATTTACTTATCTTTAAATGATTACTGGCTCTTTAAACACTGTTTCCTTTACAGTGTACATTTCACACAAACATACAATGCCTTGCGAAAGTATTCGGCCCCCTTGAACTTTGCGACCTTTTGCCACATTTCAGGCTTCAAACATAAAGATATAAAACTGTAATTTTTTGTGAAGAATCAACAACAAGTGGGACACAATCATGAAGTGGAACGAAATTTATTGGATATTTCAAACTTTTTTAACAAATAAAAAACTGAAAAATTGGGCGTGCAAAATTATTCAACCCCCTTAAGTTAATACGTTGTAGCGCCACCTTTTGCTGCGATTACAGCTGTAAGTCACTTGGGGTATGTCTCTATCAGTTTTGCACATCGAGAGACTGAAATTTTTGCCCATGCCTCCTTGCAAAACAGCTCGAGCTCAGTGAGGTTGGATGGAGAGCGTTTGTGAACAGCAGTTGTCAGTTCTTTCCACAGATTCTCGATTGGATTCAGGTCTGGACTTTGACTTGGCCATTCTAACACCTGGATATGTTTATTTGTGAACCATTCCATTGTAGATTTTGCTTTATGTTTTGGATCATTGTCTTGTTGGAAGACAAATCTCCGTCCCAGTCTCAGGTCTTTTGCAGACTCCATCAGGTTTCCTTCCAGAATGGTCCTGTATTTGGCTCCATCCATCTTCCCATCAATTTGAACCATCTTCCCTGTCCAAACCAAAATCGAACTTTTTGGCAACAATGCAAAACGTTATGTTTGGCGTAAAAGCAACACAGCTCATCACCCTGAACACACCATCCCCATTGTCAAACATGGTGGTGGCAGCATCCTGGTTTGGGCCTGCTTTTCTTCAGCAGGGACAGGGAAGATGGTTAAAATTGATGGGAAGATGGATGGAGCCAAATACAGGACCATTCTGGAAGGAAACCTGATGGAGTCTGCAAAAGACCTGAGACTGGGATGGAGATTTGTCTTCCAACAAGACAATGATCCAAAACATAAAGCAAAATCTACAATGGAATGGTTCACAAATAAACATATCCAGGTGTTAGAATGGCCAAGTCAAAGTCCAGACCTGAATCCAATCGAGAATCTGTGGAAAGAACTGACAACTGCTGTTCACAAACGCTCTCCATCCAACCTCAGTGAGCTCGAGCTGTTTTGCAAGGAGGCATGGGCAAAAATTTCAGTCTCTCGATGTGCAAAACTGATAGAGACATACCCCAAGTGACTTACAGCTGTAATCGCAGCAAAAGGTGGCGCTACCAAGTATTAACTTAAGGGGGCTGAATAATTTTGCACGGCCAATTTTTCAGTTTTTTATTTGTTAAAAAAGTTTGAAATATCCAATAAATTTCGTTCCACTTCATGATTGTGTCCCACTTGTTGTTGATTCTTCACAAAAAATTACAGTTTTATATCTTTATGTTTGAAGCCTGAAATGTGGCAAAAGGTCGCAAAGTTCAAGGGGGCCAAATACTTTCGCAAGGCACTGTATCACATAGAAAGCACTGTTTCCACTGGATGTAGTCTAGTGCAGACAGTGAGGGCAAATAAAAGTCTTTGGCTCACAATTAAAAGAAGTTTGCTTCTGAGTTGGCTCGCTGTCCGTGTGAGAATATACACAAAAATACAAAACCTCTGGCCATAATTAGCATGAAGTCACAAGTAAAGGAACATGCCATTGTTACCTAAAGTTTGTCAACAAAACAGAAGCGCACAGAGTAAGAAATGCAGCTATGAGATGTGGAGTGTGTAAAAGAGAAAGTGGTAAATGGCCAAAACAGTTGTCCAGTGGTGTTATGGAGTCATAAGGTACAACGTGGTCCTATCTGTCTAGAGCAGCAGCTCAGTATGGCTTGTCTCTCTTCCTCTGTGAGAGCAAAAAATGTTTTCTGCATGGTTATGGTACTTCAAGTTTAAACCCCAAATGTTAGGCTCTGGTTGGATTTGACACACAAAGCTTTTGTGCATAAGGTGCCATGTAAATATTACAGTAGGCCTGATGTGAATAACTGTATAAGGCCTGCTGTAAATGACAGTTAACATATGGGGAAATGAAAGGACTAAAATATCTTGATATTTATACTTCCAGTGTTATCTCCCCTACATTCCTGTGTGTATGAACTTACTTTATGATTTGATTCTGCCTTGAGTCTCTTGTTAAAGCACTTTATTCCATAGGTATTTTTGTTGCTTGTATGCACTGTTATGAGAACATAACTGCTTTTCACAGTCTGCAAATGGGACTATAGTTGTGGTGTTTGTGCCACCTGTTTTCAGCATGATACATTAAAGCAACCAAAAACTGAGGGAAAATTTTTATTTCTCAGATTATTTTGCTGTTTAATTTACAAGTTATGAAGATGAGAAGTTTTTGGTAGACATTATCATGCTGATGTGTGTACAAGTGGTCATTCTTCTAGTAAGTTTGTTCTTACTTGATTATATAAAAAGGGGTGTATTTCAGTTGATTTTGAGCTTTGATTGGTGGCCTGATGCTGTCACTTCACTGATGGTTACTGCTGTGCAGAATCTGGTTGCAAAAGATCAAGACATCATGTCCATCATATATAGAATGGTTCAAACCGACAAACCAGGTCAACAGCCTTTCTGTAAAAACTGGATGTCCACAGTGATCGATTCAGACGTGAAACTATTATTCAGCAGTTTCAAGATTACCAAAATAATGCACTGAAACTTTTTAAACAAACATCAAGATGCTTTACATATACACTTGCCAATTAACTACACTTACATGCAAACTTTTGGGCAAATGGGAATCGTAGACTACATAACGAACTGCAAGTGAAAATAGGGGGAGCCAGTATAGAACGAGTATATGAAATTAAATTTCTAGGTGTCATAGTGGATGATAGATTCACCTGGAAATCTCATATCAGATATGTTCAGCATAAAATAGCAAAAAACATATCGATATTGGCGAGGGTCAGACATATTTTGGACATAAAAGCACTATGTATTTTGTATTCTTCATTAATTTTACCATACTTAGAGTATGGCGTTGAAAACTGGGGAAATACATACAAAAGCTCACTTCAACCATTGTATATATTACAAAAAAGAGTGATAAGAATTGTGCATAAGATGGGGTATAGGGATCACACCAATGGAGCTTTCATACAGTCTAAATTGTTAAAAT